AGTCTCCCGTTGGTGGTCATTTGGCATCTTACAATATAGAGAGTTATGGCATTTCCATTTTCAATGGATTCCCCCCGATCCAATCAAGATGATGAAATTCGTGGCAAGTCTTTTTAAAGAAAAGCAGATGGAACTTTTGCAACGTGCTAAGCTGACAAGTTTTAAGAACAAACGGTGCATTGAAATACACAAGAATGATTGATTCAACGGTTCAAGAAGATGCGTTCCAAGTTTACTCGACCGGGAGGTATTCGTGCGGATCTTGGTGCTAATGCTGTCCAAATAGCTTTATCGCTTGATGACGCCAAACAAAATACTAACATGAAGTCTTTGCGGACTCTAAAACCCATGATTGTGAGTGTGCTGGACATTGGCACAACACACTACGGCCGGTATCTCTGTGGGTTCGTGGCTATTGATGACGCCTTTTTTGGCGTCTCTTCGATGTCACTCCTTCTTGAGGACGTCACGGGAACGTTGGTGGAAATTGCCGTCTATGGACTGGTAGATACAAATGTATGGTTATACGAGAAACAACACATCGTGACTTGTAAGTTTCCATAGGGGCTACCAATTGTTGTATTGGAACCATTTTACAAGGTTCGAATGGATGGATCCCTGGGTATTCGGGTGGAGCATGCGACAGAAATTATTCCATGGCGAGATGTACCGACTGACATAGTGACATGAAAGAAATTTGGCAACGATTATTTTAGAATTCTGAATTCACGAAACGAAGGCGGTGGAGCGCTGGCATGTATTTGGTGTGCGATACAAGCAATGCAATCAGACATTCGTACGTTAGTACTACTGCTAGGAAATCTTGCAACTTGTCGTTTTAAAATGGGCGACTTTGCAACTTCCATTCAACTATCTGGAGTTGCAGCTCATTTTGATTCGTCGTATTTCAAAGCCTGGTTTCGTCTCGCTTCAGCTATTGTTGAGAACGAAATCAAATCAATAGCGGCACATGTGGTTGCACATGTAGAGCATAGCTTACCGTTATCTCCGCAGGAACTGCTGTTGCTGAAAAGTACGTTTGGTGCAATACGCGCATCGACTGACACTTATCCGTTTCATTCGTACGCCGAATGGTGTACAAGCCTAGGATCACCTGGTTTTGTACAATTAAAAGAGAAGTTTCGCCACGAGTCAAAGGATGCAGACACATGGCGAAAAGAAGGATCTGGTTACTTCTTCATGGGTGACTACTTATCTGCAGAGGATGTTACTGGAAGGGTTTGACATTAAGTACATTGTGTCGTTGCGATGTTTCGGTCGTGTTGAATGAATAACATCGCCGCTGTTTATTTAATGATGCATTGTGAGACTAGCACTGTTCCTGGCATCAGTCTTGGTGAACTCAATGTGACGTCAGCAAAGATGCGCGGGCAAATGTCAAACACAAAACCGGCACTTTTGAACTGCACCGTTGCTGGGATCATTGACCCGCTCAATCACAAAGCTTGGGTACGTCGGATACGATGCTTGCAATACATGGGAATTTCGCTGGAAGATTGTATTGCAGACCTGTAGACAGTTGATGTAAGTGTCGGTAAGCAAGTTTGCACAACAACGGAAAATTCCAACCGAATGCACGAATTCAAGCGCGAATTGAGCAATTACACGCAGCGACTTTTACGATGTGGCACGCATATCAAGTTTCTGATGTTTCTTTTGAAGTACAGCGGCAAGAACGAAATGCATGTCATCCTGAGATACGATTTTCTGCAGCTAGGCGTGAGTATGAGCATGAACACCAATTTGACTCGTTTGAAGGGGAACGGGAAGAGAACATTGACCAATACATTGCACAAATGGAAGGACTTGAGACGATAATTCGCGTCGCTTTCACTGCTTCGAAGTCAAAAACTGACGAGGGACCACAACTTCCGCGTGAGATAATGATGTTTGTGAAGGACTCACCACCAAAACTTCACATTGAGTTCCAAGGCTGCGTGGATGGTCGGTAGGGATCGAGCCAGCGTTTGCGAGGAAAATTCTTAACCGGGCGTATTTGGATGCCAGACCAAGTCCCTGGGTCAGAGCTAGCAGTATGCGTGAGGGAAGCTTTTTTACGCAGAAGAATCCCGTTGACTTGGTAAAACGATGGCATGGAACAGTGGCACTAAAAACGCTTGCTGAGAAGGCCGACAGCTTGGAGCTCGGTGACATTATTGCTTGTCATGAAGAACTGAGCAATGTTGTACCGGCTTATGATGCTCGCATCCGTTCCAACTTTGCCAATAATCCCAACCGTGCCGAAGTCTACTTTCTGAGAACTCTTCATGTTGCTGTTGGCTTTAACGACTTCAGCAGCCTTGAAGCTGCCACACTTTGCGATGAACTGCACAACGATATGCCTTTAAGATTTGTGGGCTTTGAGATGAGCGAGTTTGCTGTTGCTAAATGCAAAGTGGTTGCGCAAATGCTTGCTTCATCTGACGTGCCGATTCCGAGCGTGATGGAGGTCTGGCTGTCATCGACGTGGGAATGCTCCACGCTGAAAGATTTCCAAAAGTGTGTGAAGATGGTGTTGAAGTCATTGAGTGGACGGAAGTCAAACCACAAGGTGATGTCGTATCTGAGCCATTGGGCTTCGGTCGAGACGATATCTTCTGCAAAAGCACACTCGGAGTTCTTCACAAACTTACAACGATACGCACAAAGGGTAGTGACAGGAATTTGTTGCTTCCGCCGCGAGATCGACCGTCTTGACTTGACTCATTATATGCTAACTGGGTAAATTCGAGCATCCTCACGTGTAATGAGGATTGTGGAGAAAAAGCAAAGCGCTGTCAATTCCAAAGAAGGCGGTTCAAAGACTGAGAGCAAGTCGACTTTGAAGAAGAAACGCAGTCACAGGATGAGAAAAGCTAAACAAAGAGCATTGTCGTCACCTCCATTGGTTGGCAGCTTGACAATGTGGAACGTGCCTACAGGAGCCCCGCCTTTGGAAAAAGATGTTGCCTTCAACACAGTGAGCTTTATGAATATGTTGGACGATTTTAAAGAGCGCGAGAAGAAACAGAAAAACTCCACGGATGAACTATTGGTAGTAGAATTGTTCATGATTCACATCATGCGGAACTTGCATCGACTTCGTGAGTTGATGGTTGCAAATTTATTGTCAATCGAGGTGTACTATGGCGTTGTTAAGGCTGTCCGAGGAGAGGCGGCAACAGATTCTGGGAACCTGAAATTGCTGGCGCGTATCGCATCGATGCACTCATTTACGATCTCATGGTCTTATCTACCTGTTACTTTGTGCCTGAAGACTTTCACGACGTCGCACGTCGGTGTTCGGTCTATGGTGACTGTGTGCATTATGGTTACAGCATGAATTGGACAACTTAAGTGTTAGAAACGTCATTACTTGACTACGACCCTACAAATCACAAAGCGCTTATTAATCATGTTCTGGACTCGGCCTTGGGCTTTTCTAGCGAGACTAAAGACGCAGGGTTGTCATTATTGGTTGGATATGTTTAAAGCTTTGGGGCTAGATAAGCTTTTGTCGTTGCCCTTTCGTGACAATCCTCTCAATAGCACGGGATATATACTAGCAAGTATCTACAAACAGAAATGGATTGACTATTTTATGAAGAAGAGGAAGCTTTCTGGAGAGGCAGCACATAGGCTAGGTGCATTGTGTACATCGTCTAACTGTGGTCTCCAGGAAGGAGCAATGGAGCTCACGATACCGAATCCTTTGTGTCGTACGTCGTTGACGTTGTACGTGAGTTGGTGTTATGATCCAGAACTTTGTCTGCAAATGACAAATGGCGTTCTTACGAATACCGACAAGTTTGCAAAAAGAATGCAGCAATTGAATGTCTGAAAGGATAACCTCTTGACAAATGTCAAGCACGTATAGATTATGGAATTTCGCAATACTTGATGACCGTCATTGGAATTACCGACAATAAGTTTCCAAAGGACTCTCGGCCCTTCACGGACAGCCTAGGATTACACTACAAACACGTAAACACTTTTGCCATCGGAATGACTTCCTTTACAAACATTTTACTGTTTTTTTTTTTGCGTTAGCAATGCAAAAGATTGACAGAAAGTACACATTGAACACAACGCTTCTTATCTCATTCATGACGTGTAATTGACGGTATGTAAATTGGTGTAAAAGCACTTGCAATCTCCCTACAAATATCAGAGCTAAAATGTATGATATTGATATCAGACGTTGGATTTGGTCAACCGTAGAATCGCACTCAGCTTCCCTTAACCACCAGTTGAAACGCACTTCACTCAAAACAGAGAGCAACGTAAACGATACAATTTATTTTGCTGCATATGAAATGTGTCGGCCTTATTAACGATTCAAAGTTATTGTTGCTTTACCAGCATATTTTCTCGACTCTTACTAGTGACAATGTCTTCTTCTGCTTGTGTAAAATTCCATATTCACCATTAAATCAAGTTTGTTGAATTGGGTTTCGCATATGAACGAAATTTTTTTATTTTTTGGAACCATTCTATGGCGCGACTTGTGGTGTAGAAGCTTTTGCACGCGGAATCAGCGCACCAAAATGCCATTGCGTATTACCTATTCCATCAAAACCACAGCTACACCAACTGTAGCATCTAGATTGTTCAATATCGTGATGCGTGTTGCACAATGCATTGCAGCCCTCATCATCAGCGTTGTCTGGAAGTAAGGTTCTGCACGATCGAACATAGCAAAAAGGATTCACTTTCGTACTCGTCAATCTACGACCAGGCGCACATCTTAAATTGTAATGATTCGATTCATGCCCCTATTGCACGTAATGCGCCGACGCATTCATGTGTGCCTCATGATCCATCTTTCCCAGCACGTGCTGGTAAGACGGTAGCAACGTCATCTTGCCAAATAATGCGCGAATCAGTCACTGTGTCGGCATCATATCAATCTTCGGCATGCGCATGGCATGCGTCACGGTCGGCAAATGATGCGACGAAAGCATCCACTGGTTAAACTCCGTGCCCACCATGAGTGTCACGTAGTCGGGTTTTAAAATAGGTTCCACGAGTTGACCGTCATGGGTCTGAATGAAAAAGCCCGTTTCCAAACCATTTATGCCGGAGGGCAACACTGACTCAAACTTGTGGTTAAAGCCGTTGTCACTTACTTGATAGAAAGCAGGCGTCGGAAACACAATAAACATACCGTTGTCCTCGTGCAGGTCGAACGTAAAGTTGATGTCGGCCGAGGAGTTCGTATCGGTGCCAGAGAACGCAGTCATAAGCCTGCGCTGAGAAGGCGTCTCGTAGGCGTGAAAGTGGTCAAGACGGACGGCATCCGTCATGAGTTTACGGCTAGAGACGACTTGTCCATAGCCGTCCTTGATAGTGAAATTGGTGGCATCGAGCGTCGTGGCCACACTAAGCACCACCATCTCGAGCAGCGACGAGAATTGGCTGTAAATTTCCTTGTAACCCGGACACGTCAGATCGGTAGGAATGTCGTTGGCGTTCGCATCCTGACCCGATTGTGCGCTGATGGTGTAGCGTTTCGTGCCATCCGTGAACGTCTTTTGGATCAGGAAGTCGGCGTTGGTCTCTTGGGCGGATACTGCACACGCAGCGGCCATATCGAGGTACGAGCGGCAAACCTGGGCGTAGGAGGGGACGTTAGTAAAACTGACGATGCCGTCCTTCTTGAGCGCTCCGTGTACGTCTTAGGGCGTGTTACCAGTGGAGAGGGTTGCGTAATTGAAGACGGGTACTTGGAATGTTGCCACTTTCTCAGCGAGGTTACTGGCTGTTGTACTTGCCACTAACATGGCGGCCAGACTGATGAGCATTTTGTTACCAGAATGATTGGATAACTGTAGTCGTGGGTGCGATTTGATGAATGCAATGTAAAGACAATGTGAAAGTGAGAGATACTACTGGTCCTAGAGTGCTATGTATGTCTACCTTTTTGCGCATAGTAAGACTTAAGGTTATTGTGACATCATACACATCAAGGCACCAAGTTAAAGCCTGATTGCAAGATCAATTTTTCACCATTGATACGTGTGCGGTATAAACGTGCTAAGTTATTGTTGATTGGCACAGTACGTTTTGGTAGATACCTTAAGAGATAAAGAACGAGGATATTAATTGTATACAGCTTGGAAGCTGCAAAGTGAATAATTTTGACTAAATAGCCAGCATAAATTATGCCGAGTAGCGTCCTAGAACTAACTTGCTACAAGTGGCAGACTTTTAACTTCTAAACACGCTATTCGTCCGATCTAGAGTTGCAGTATTAGCGAAAACCGTTTATGCAAACCCAAAGTGCATTGTATGCCTAATACTTGTGATTATGGCAACATGGTATTCTTGAAAGCGGCAGTATGTGAGTCTAATGTCGCACAGAAACGGATATCACAATATCCTTTTCCATGTCGTTCCGAAAAATTCAAGAACGTGCTGTGTCATTCTGTACCTTTAAATAGAAAGATCTATCACTCGTGTCGATTCATTCATCTCAATGTGACCCTTTTCCTGATCATTTGTAGCCGCTGATGTACAAGACGCATCACATGATGACATACTTTCTTACTAGATAACAGGATCCACGATATCTTATTGTATTAAGCAGCCTATAGTGTAGCAACTTCAAGCAGCCTTGGTCAATGACACGGCTAACAGTTCAGGGTCCAGCCTCTAATCCGTTCCCTCCTGAGATTTTCTAGTCAACGTCATCAGATTTGGTGAAAGAACATGCCGACGCCATTCTAGTCTCTTGGGTGGTAAACGTATCATCTTGCACCAACCACTAGTTTGACCGACAAGAAAGATTGTGTTTTGCTTTAAATGATGATACGTAAGCACGCCACATTAGTTTAAGGTTTGGCTTAATCTGATGTGTTGTTTTATTAATCGCACTATTATAATAGTCTAAGAAACCTATTGACCTATTTTTTGTATGAGCTGCATATAATCAGAAGCAAGTCTACGCAAACTACTTACTATCGACACACCTTAAGTCCGTTTATCATAGATACCCTAGACTTCACACTTAAGGACTGACTAGGATATTGCTCATGCCTCAAAGTACAAGTCATTGATAATAGCAACCAAATCACACACTTTCTTGTTACAACATTCAACCTCTATATTTCAATCACATATTAATTGTCGCGTGCTAGTCCTTAAAACGAGGTACTGATCGGTCTAAAAACCTGAGGTCACCTTCACTCAGTCAACAAAGTTCCGGCTTAGTAAGTCATTCGAAGACGACATGGTCGCACGCCAATTGACACACCTTCTTCGTTCTAGTGCTGCCCAGCGCCGAACCTACACCAGCCTCGTAAACAAGAAAAACCACGTTCCAGACGATCAAAAGTTGTTCCTGACGTCAAAAGCCCCCCACCTACATCAAGCGCTCGTCGGACCGTCCGCTTTTGACAGTCATGTTCCTGTGCCTCGGTCTCGGCTTTGCTTAAAGTCTTCGTGGTGAAATCTACATGGGCACAGGCACTGGAAAGAAGGATTAAATGGAATTCTTTGTTACAACAGCAATCAGGAAGAATGGAAGCGTGAATGGATATACCGACGTCGCGCCGCGCATGGTTGAAATTGCGCTACTCTTAGCTGCTTATGGAGGACGACGCTTTAGTAAGTAGTCGGGTGACACGTTGTGTCGCAGGAGTGACACTACTGATGGCAATTTCTGTCATTTTGCTCGCATGATAGATAATGCCTCTTCATAAGTTTATAGTAGGAATCAAAAGAAGAGTTTTTTTTATACATTAGGTTTGCCATATGTCTATGATTAATTCTACACTGGAGTTATGTGTGTTGTTGGACTAATTCCATGTATATTACACAATCTTCATTGTGGTCAACCTGATCTCCCTCTATCATAACGGGTTCCCTTTCTCTCTAAGAACACGTCAACTATCCATTAAAACCTATTGTTCATGGCGTTACCTACACCGTTACCCGATCGCGTTAGCTACGTCGAGGCATATCGTCGCTTTGTAACATTAGAGAGATCTAGTACAGTTGTTTCGAATATGGATACAAGGACATATCAGGATCAATTAACACAATCGTCGGAATATATGAAAAAATGCATTTACCAGCGACAGATGGACGGCATTTTGTCCACGAATGAGCGTTTCTTTGAGCTACAAAACACGCAACTTTATGCTTTTTGTATTGAATCTTATTTAGGTATTCTTCTACCGAAACAATCCTTCTATCATTATGTGGAAAAAGATACAAAACCACAAGAACAATTGAAGCAAATGGATGAACAACTAAAGCACCAAGTCTCTTCTATCAATCACATGCGTAATATTGTCGATCGTGTCAAGTTATTACATGAATCCGATGTATTTCTGACTGAATATTTAAATCATGCTGAGCGTGTTGGTCTTCTTACAGAAAAGAAACGACGTGAACAGTATGAACGTCTTGAGAGTAAACAGTTTTCACTCTCCAGAGACGACAAGATTCAACGATTTCAAATGCAGCGAGAGATGGAAAAGAACTTGATTGAAATACAGAAACGACGTGATGAAAAGAAAAATATTCAGATGGGAAACGGACTGAAAGAAGATGAAAAAGAACTTGATGAAGAAGATGATGATACTGACGACATGGAGCGCGAAGAATTGATGACATACATTCAATTATCAGTACTAAAATGTATGGAAGAACAAGCGTGTATTAATCAAGAAAAGGATATGCTTGAAACGATGTTAAAAATGAATGCAGACACGGACAAGCAGGATTTGTTCTCGGAAGCGCATCGACCGCCACCGCCACCTCAAGGACAGGGACTTGTGCGTCTTTTTTAGTGTGAAAGTGATTGAAACGAGTAACGTAAGTTGATTGATGTGATGAATGATATGTGGATATGCTTTTGTAGGAGGTGACGCGCATTAATCCACAGCTGGAGATGCGACGCGAGACCATTCGGTCGGGAGTGTTTAAACCTGGTCACCGTCTACCAACAATGACGTTAAACGAGTATGCGGACCACGAAGTGGCTAATGCCGTGGAGCGCCAGATAAGAGGAGAGTATGTGAGATGATGTGAAGTCTTGGTGCACGCGAATGCGATGTAATGTTTATAATGTGTCCGTTGCTGCTTGGAGCAGGGAAGCACCAAAGGGACCACGCCGATATGACCAACTTGTGGAGGACGGAGATGAAGACAATGACGCATTAGTAGAAGAGGCGACATATAAGGACCGTGCTTGGGATGATTGGAAGGATGCAAACGAGAAGGGAATTGGGAACAAGGGGGGGCTCACAGTTCTAGTAGAAAGAGTTTCAGCATGAAGCAGTAATATGTTCTGCTAGAGAATGTTTTGGTTCTGAATTTCACAACACGAGTTTTCAGACGTATGCACTGTGCACACATGGTCGCAAGTTCAAGCTAACGACAAACAACTGAAGAGCTTGGGAGGATATCACGTACGAAAGTAAACAAGTTTAGTAAAGTCAGGATGGTAGTGGTGGTGGTGTGTGATTACGACTTGAGCTAGATGATCTTAGAACAAAATCATGTCTTGTCAATTTCTTTTCTTGCGCTTCCTATGAAAAGCTGATTGAGCAATTAGGAACCTGTCCATACCATGAGTATTGTTAGTGTACTTCCGAAATCGGTCTAACCAAAAACCGCGGTAATAATTCAAACGTGGCAAAGACTGTAGATCATATTTGAGTTAGATAGTAACGTAAAAGACAATTCGTTACGCTGCCACTTTACAGTCCATTTGATTTGCAACAACGCGATTGATCTTCATGTGAGAGAGAAGCCATATACACTCCTTTGCAAACTTATTGTCGCTATTTCCAAAGACGGTCATCAAACATCGTGCAATTTCATAATCTATACGTGCTCATACATTGTTTACATTTGTCAAGCAAGTCGTTATCCTTTTAGAGTTACTGCATAATGTGTAACGCGGTTTAACAAAGGTGTGTATTGTATATACAGACCTGCCACACCATTGTTGCGTGGCTGTACCTTGGTTACAAGAGTAGGCTCGATGTGACCGTACTTAAAGTACGAAGGGTGTATCGACGTGGTCACTATACTTATTTAAGTATAGTGACTATGCATGTTTGCGTAATAACAAAAGGCTAAGAGCCAGTAATAGTGACTAGCACTAAGTATAGAGTAGGCGCTTCTACATTTAGTGTTAGAAGATAAACATAATATAAATCAGTTTCTAACCTGCTCTATAAGCGTTACATCTTGAGCGTGCTCTACCTCCGTAAAATTGGCATCTTTAATACCAGATTCTCTGAGACTCGGTTGTTGATACCGATAGGCACATGCTTACGAGCTAGCCTAGGAGGATTAAACACGCTAAGACGTAGAAGCTCTCTAAGCTTGTCTTCCTCTGCACATAATGCATACGTAGCTTTGCTACAGTAGTTTGACTACTTCTTCTGCACATAGTGCATCTGCACATAGTGCACAAGTAGCATAGCTACAGTAGCTCGGCTACACCTGGTAGCACGTGAAGTCAATCCCGCACCTGACTTTGTGACTACTTCTCTGTGTGAGAATGGGCATCGACGAGATGTCAGCGGTTGGCCTGTCACAGGCACAACAGGAAGGGTTGCAGAAGCTGCTCCCTATCCTTGGTCCTAAGGGTGTGGAATACCTCATCGTCTAGGGCGAAGAGGAGGTTAATAAGCGTATTCGTACGCTTGATGAATATATCAAAGCTCTAGTCGAGCATGTTAAGACACAGATGCCTTCTTCTGCGCCTTTGCCCATGGCAACTATGGCGCAAGAAGTGGTCCGCAAACCAAAACCCATACAAATGGAAGTCGATAAGCTCGACAACAAAGATGGTAACAACCTTATGCTGTGGTTCCGACAGGTTGAGTCGGCTATGTTTATAGCCGACATCACCTATGAACCGTACCGTGTGGGCTTTGCCACGGGTAAGTCAGGTGGTTTAGTAAAACAGTGTACATTCACATGTAGTGCATCACTGCAAGATGCTTTTCTCACATGGGCCAATCTGGAAGTTCAGATGACCCGGCAGTATGTGTGGTGGAGTGGGTTCTTAAAACTGCGTAATGAGACCCCAAGCCACACACTGTGCCGGATTGCCGACAGTCGGGGGAGGTACCATGATGTCGCGTATAGACCTTCTCTCACCTTGTGTACCCGTCGGCTGGCGGGTTGCGCTCTTCGGAGACCTTAGTTGAGATGTGATGTCGGCCTTAAGAGAGGTCGACCTTGGGGTGCCTCGAATGAGTATACTTCACTCGGTAGGCGGGTAGGTGGCCACTCGGTTGACTAGGTCGAGGGTGGACTTATAACCAAATTCTTCAGGGAAGATTCTCAACCCTGGCCTTTTCCTTCCTTTTCCTTGATATCTCAGGGGTGTTAACAGCCTGGCCTTTACTTGCTCCTGAAACACTAGGGTAGGGGGGACCGCTTCCGATAGCGAGTTGAGTTGGAGGGTGCTACTCAGACGAACCCACAGGCCAAATATATCCTGGAGCTCTATTCACACTTAAATCTTACCATACGACTGTCTTCGACGGGAATCAACATGTATCCCTTCCCGGAACAGGTGGGTAGACTTATGCAAGTTCCATGTGGGCACGACGAAGGCGTGCTACGTAGATCGCAAATTTAGTAGTATTTAGTGGTGTCCTTACTTTGTACTCCTTTCCTTTATATTTACCCCGAGACCTGATTCTTGATTCTGCTTGGCTAGGGTATCAGGACCTCTGTACCGAGGTCAACCTAGGAACGTTCCGAACAAACACCACTACTACGCGGAGGCATTGAGTGTCGAGCCCTTGATGCTTCTACTGCGCCATTTCCATTTACTCAGGAGTTGATGCACGGGCGTCTGTCATCAAGACCTTGGCGTTTAAAGAAGTCACGACATACCTTCACGAAGCGCGAGAGCGAAAGCCTCTTCAAGAGAAAGAGGGTCGGCGCGCGAAGGCAGTATATCGTCATGCCATCCCGAATGCCTGAGACAAAGACATGAACTTGAGACGCCATGTCGACCGGCTTCGTGACGATGCCTGAAGCCAGATGCCGTGTCCGTTGAACGTAGTCGTTATAGAAAGCTTGCCTTGTTTAAGGTCAAAGAATTCGGTACGTAGGCGCGCTTTGTGGTGGCTCAAAAGCTAGTTTTAAGTCACTCTGAAGCGCGTCCAGAGTGGAGAAGGCGTACTGGTCGACTACCAACTTGACCAAAGCCCACTCTTTCGCCTTACCAGTCAGGTGTGAGAGGAGGCCGTTAACCTTCGATGACATCGTCTCGATAAGTCTCGAGGTGATAACGATATCAATCTATCTAACCCAAAATTTAAGTGGGAGACGATCTGTACCCGCACCCGAGTAGAGGGACGTCTACATTTTTTTGACCGTTTCAATACTTGGAGAACGCGAGGGTGTTTGTACTCGCAGTTTCGCGTCGTCGAGCTCGCGTACCATGAAGGCTTAAGCGGCATGATGTTGTTGGCTAGGTGACGCTGCGTTCAGCAGCGTCGTAACAACAACTTGGCCAGAGACCGCTGCGAGGCGGTGGAGGTCTTCCCACTCCACTAGCGTGAGGTGGTGGAACGTACCGATTTTCAGTGTCCCCATGACAGGGTGGAGGGGCATGTTGTCGTCCTTCGCGTTGGAAGGACGACAAAGTGCTACCAGGTGTAACGGGGCGAGAGCTCCGTTCCAAAGCTTAAAATAAGGTCTTACGAGGAAGCGTAAGAAGTATGCAATTTTCTTGCGTACTTAAAACTTTTTGAACTCTGTTCGTTATTATTAAGGTTAGATCCAACAATCCCAAACCGTTTGTAAACCACCTAAATCCATGTCAAATATTAATTGAGTGAAATGGGCCTAAACCTCACTATTAACCAATCATATAATGGCACTAAAAGATACGCTATTCGTATCTTATACTTTCCTACTTAATGCAATATTTTGAATATTCTCTACCTAATTATGCTTAACAATGGGACCGTTATTGTAGCCAAACCGTACTTAATATGGCGTGTAACGGCTCGACCCTGTAACACATTCGGACCCAGCGTACTCACGATTTTCAAATTTAATGAGGATTCTGTCAATTTCATTTCCTTTTCGCTTGGACTGCCTCGCAATAAGTGCTTCGCACTTGAGAACAAAGCTTTAAGGTTACGACACTTGCTCTTTATGCACCTGAAAGCGTAAGTGCGTTTTGAACTCACGCTTTCTAAGCATCCTAGTGTTACGACACTTGCTTATAAGCATTTCGTGCCTAGCACTTGGTTTTAACCCTTCAGTGTTTTTGATCACTTGCGTCTACAGCATTAAGTCCTAGCACTTGGCATTAACCATTAGTGTTTGCGAACACTTGCTTCTAAAGCATTAACTTCCTAGCACTTGCTTCTAAAGCATTTCAGTGTTCCCAATACTTGCATTCTAAAGCACTGTCCATATGGCGCTTGGCCCGTCATGGATGACGCAATACGCTGTGACAGCTTTGGGTACGATGACAGTGACGTTGCCTCTTAAAGCAGAGGTGCCGAGTCCCCGTCAGGTCATAGTACCTCAAAATTACCACGCTCATCAAACAAAGGAAGCCAGTCCCTATCCGTGTGGTCTTCCGCAACGAAACAACGCGTTGTGCCAAGCGCCACCGCATTCCTCGCAAAGGGTGCCGACGAGGAGTTGCTCCCCCTCTTGGCGCTGCACAGCGTCGTCAACGTGATGACGAGGCCCTAACTCGGCCCAAACAGACCTTTCCACGTCGTGATTATGAATTCGTGCCTCGAGACCCCAATGAGGAAGCTTGACGAGCTGCATCACAATCTTTGCATACTTGTGTCATTGGGTCTCAGGCTCGCACTGCTTGCAAGGTTGCGGGTCGTGCCGCACTTCGTAAGCGGCTTCTTACTTCCCAGGAGTTTACGATGAAATCGTATCAGGAGCGACTATCATGGCAGTCACGTGGGGCGCCGGTGCACCCACTGAACAACATACATGTGGTGCATAAACCAGGTGAAACATCTGCGCTAGATAATCACTAGTTCACTTGTTGGGCTGATCGAGCATGTAAGATAATCACCAGTTCACTTGTTGGGCTGATCGAGCGCAAACTTGCGCTTAAGCGCTAAAAAACAAGTCGTTTGGTTCTAACGTCATCTACGTTTCAATTTAGCGAAGGTCAAGGATGATCGCAAATTACCTTTCACGTATAAGTCAAAATTTGAGGGGGTTATGCTTCTGAAGTTGCTCCCGTAACTCTCACACAAGTGATGTACCGGCATTGGCTTCATCCGAAGGTCAAAGGTGAAGCCAGCCTACT